GAGGTTGCGGCAGAGGGAGAGAGACGAATAGAACTAGTACGGCAGCGTGGGATGTTCTCTCGACTATCTGAATAGAACTAGTACTGCAGCGTGGGCTGTTCGCTCGGCTATCCGTCAGTCTGCTCCTCCAGTGCTGGCGATTTCCCAGGTGACCGACCACTGTACATTATAGAGTGTTGGTTGCTTTCTCTCACCCCCCCCCCCCCCCCCCGCCCCCCCTTTTTTTTTCTGTTTTTTGTTTCCTGTCGTCTGTTGCACACGGAAAGAGTAGTGAAGGTTACTCCTTGTATCTCTGTCATTTATGTCTGCGACTGCTCTTTCATCATCGATCTATAATATAAAAACCTGCAATTATTGCTCTGTTCACGATTGTTGCTTGCTTTTGTTGTGTTGTTTCGGAGATTGATTTGGTACAGGACAGCTAGTTTAAGTTATTGCCTTGATTGGCTTACTCCTGGTGAATACAGCTTCTACGCTGCAGCATGGGGCCTCAATGTCTTCTCATCCCCCCAAAAAATCGTACTCAAACACACAGTGCCACACACTCACGCTCACAAGCGCAAAAACACACCCACAAACACGCACCCACACAAAAGACACGCATGCACACACAAACACTCAGAAACACATGCAAATGCACAGTACTGAATGTGCGTCACGTGCACACGTGCGTACACGCACACGCGAACGGACATACACCTGCACAAATGCAAACATAAACACACATCCAGCCCAAATGCACACGTGCACGAACACACACATGCCACACTTTCTCGATTTCCATCTCATTGCCTTCTGCCTTTCCATCTTCCTGATTGGGGCACACCTGCGCACATACACACGCGCGATGCGACAGCATGCCAATATGGGGCATAACCTTTCTTGCCGGGCCACATTACCTATACATAGTGGAAGATGAGCAGCAAACGATGCTAGAGTTGGAAGAGGAGAAGCAGTCAAGTTGGAAGCTGGGAACAATGGTTGGAGGGAGGGAGGGTAAGGCCGGGGAGGGTGGCAGAGAAAATGGGGGGGGGGGGGGGGGGGGGGGGAGGCAAGCGGAAGGATGGGAGGATGGACAAGGATGTGGCGATGAGAATGAGAAGAATGAGCAGCCGGAGGTTGAGGTGAAAGAAATGAGTTTAGAGGATGGGAACAGGATCAGCCGTTGAGACTGCCGAGCAGTCTGTATGTCACTGAGGGATTGCCGGTCTAAGGTGGATGATGTTTCTGCTCATCTATCCTTTCTTATTTGGCTCGGGGTGATGTTCTGATCTTGCTTCCAGATTGTCTCTCTTGTGCCTTGTTTAGATTTGCTGTGGATTGCTTTCTGTTTGTTTATTGTTTTGCCTTCGATTGTGATATGGGCATCCTTTGCTTTGCCTGCCATTGGTCGGTCTGTGGCTGAACAATTCACCGAGTTGTACCGGCGATTGTCGACTTGTGCCAAGCATCGGTTCATTAATATATAGACTTCTTTTCAGGATTGTCGTGTAGCTGGTATGAATGTGATTGTGATTGGCTGGTTTAGTACTCCGATGCTTTTTACTGTTTCTCTTTTTCTTTCCCTTTCTTTTGTTTTTCACCTTCTCCTCGTTGGCGATTCCAGTGTGGTACTCGTTGTTCCTTCTTTGACACCGTGACAGCATTAGACTCTACTTATACCATATCTCGATACCGGATGCCAGCATTTACTTATTCCGCTTTTGGCCAATTGAATTGACTGTCTATTTTTCTTCCTTTGTCAGAGGAGGTGGCGGTAGACAAATATGGCTCTTTCTGCTGTACTGCTTTTTGAAGTTTTTTTTTTCCTTTTTTTTTCCCTTTGTTAAAAATTTTACTGTCCTGTTCCAGTGTGTTGCATTTGTTTCTTCTGTGATACCTTTCACAGCGTTAAGTATTTTCGGTGTCCTCTTTTTTTTTTTTTTTTTTTTTTTTTTTGTCTTCTCTACAGACTTGGGTTCGTTTCTCCTTAGATCCCATTCACAGCACTTTGGTGTCCTGCTCATAGTCCTCTTATGGGATTACTATCTATCTACCACATATCAGTAGCGGATGACACCATTTATGTAGCCTGATTTCAGCCAAATGCAATTGGCTATAATGTTTATTCGTCTGCCTTTGGAAGTTCAGGTGGTGGTAGCAGCAGGCTCTTCTTGCTGACATGTCATTACGACAGGACTGTTCTGCTTCTGAGGCTATAAGCAAGCAAGGTGGAAAACGAAAAGAGGAGGGTGTGCCTGCAAACGATGCAGACCTGCTTCTGCGGCCAAGCAAGAGGGAGATGGAAAAGAGGACATGGTGCCTGCAAACGTGTGTTTCATTTGCAGGATGTTTATAGCAGCTATCAATGAGCGTTCAGCTTGATACTTGCACTATTTTTATACCCAGCAATTAGCATTCAGCGATCGCTTTTCTTCTTTCTCACTCCGTCCTGTGATTGGATTTGCCCACTTTCCGCGTAATCAGATGATGTTGGTGGGCAAGTGCTTGGTGATGAATGCCCTAGTAGTCTTTCTTTGATGTGTGAACTTGTCAAGTTGTTGGACTGCTGATGGTGTGAACTTTCCGCGTAATCAGATTCCAGTCATTGCAAGAGGTGATGGTGATGGTGATGGTGCTGCTGCTGCTGCTGGAATCATTTGGATGCTACTCCCACCGGAGCGTCAATTGAAGGACATGTTCGGGTGCGAATGGTACTTCGAACTTTTCTGCAGTGTTCAGGTGGAGAAGCGCTTTGGGCACGGGTTCACTGCACAGGCATATGATCGTTGAATGTAGGCCTAGGCAGGCATCATATTTTCTAAGATGCCTTCAGGATGTTGGTCACGTGGCGAGGTCCGTCCTCAGTTGGGCAGTTGTTGTTTTCGGGGGTTTATCTCACCCTGCCTTCATGTATACGAATGAGCAAATATGTATATCATTTGAGAATATGTGGAGTTTCAAGTTGTTGTTTTGTCTTGTGTAGAGATTGAATCGATGAATTGCTCGTCTTTGGCTACAGGTACAGAAACTTTATCTTTTGTCTTTCATTTCATTTTGTTTTTTGTTTTATTTTATTTTGTTTTTTGTTTTATTTTGTTTTGTTTTATTTTAGTTTAGTTTTTAAGATTTTCTCCAGGCATGCAATACGTCCCTCCACCGAGAGAAGCCCCCTAGATAGCTATGCTTGCAGGGGTCCCCTGTATAGCCTGAGTAGTAGTGTGGGTAGGTAGTGAACGAGAATTATAAGGGAGAACTATCCTTTCCGTTTCTTTCTTTTCGTAGGACAGAAAGCTCCACTCTATTGGTTGGTATCTGCAGCTGATGGAAACTGGGGCCCATGCTCCACTTGGGGAGGTTTGGCTCTGCTTTCGAGTTTTTTTGATTTTTTTTTTTAACCCCTGAGAGCTGCAATCTATTGGTTGGGATCTGCAGTGCAGAAAACCGGGGGTCGTGCTCCACTTGCCACTTGGCAGAGGGTTTTTTTTTTTTTTTTTTCTCACCTGCGACCCAACCTGGCCAATTTTCTTCCTGTACCATGCACCCGACCGACCCAAGATTTTTAATTTCCACCTCAAGATGACCCCACCCACCTGAAATATTTTTTTGAAATTTCAGCCCTGTGCCTGCCATGCCTGCCACCCGAGAAAAGTCTCATCTGGACCCACCCGCACCCGTGAGAACATCGGTGTACCCGCCCGCACCCGAAACCTAAATTTTTGCCACCCACACCTGCTTGTTCCAATGCAGCCCTGTCCACGACGACAACAACAGTATCACCACCTCTTTACCGCCGCCCGTCAGTGTCATTCTGTCATGGTGTCGCCCAGCAGCAAGGCCAGGTAAATTGGCGGCGGGCTTTTGAATATGCCAAGTTAATTGGCGGCGGGCTTTTGAATATGATGCCAAGTTAATTGGCGGTGGGCTTTTGAATCTGCCGAGTTTGCTAACCGAGGCTTGAGTTCAAAGAGGTGACCTGGATCTATCAGCTGTGTGACCGAGGCCAACGCTTCACCCACCTGTCATCCACCCGCCGGGTGATCGAGAGCATTTGTCGACCTGCCCATGACCCAGAAATGCCCACTAGCGGCACGCGCCGATCACGCACCCAAGAAGGCATAGGTAGACGCAAACCCAACCCAATCACTTTGTGGGTCTTGTGGGGCAGGTGGGTGCGGCTGAGGGTACCCGGTGCCCAAATCTGCCACTTGGGGAGGTTTACCTCTGTTTTCGAGTGTCTTTTTAGTTTGTTTGTTTTAAGGCAGTAGTGCCTTTGTCGTTTTGGGAAGTAGCGGGCCTCTGACTTTCAGGAGGCCAAGTTCTCGGGATGGTATGGCCAAAAATAAACTCGGAACCCCCGAAATACAATCAACTTGTCTCAAGTTCTAGGATGATATTCCCAGATGAAGGTACATGCCTAAAAGGGACAAGTACCACTATCAAAGTCAAATCGGTTCTCCTAATAGGGTCACATTCTCACATTATATCACGACGTACTTAAGTTTATATTCCAAGCCATATGCTCAGCCTTCTCTTATCTTTAGCAGTCCATACATGTGCGAGGCTCACCCTCATATTCTAACCAATTTACCCTTCAGTAGACGCAAGAGTCTAAAAAATGCTTATCCAATCTAACCCGAGGCTCCTTATGATCCCATGTATACACACAATGTACTAAAAGCATGCATATGTATTTTCTAACCCACTCGGTATATGGTCAGGATCTTGCCAACTTAAAAGATGGAGTTGGGATCACACAATCAGTTAGCATGCTATCCTAACTCTCGTGTCCACGTGTATACAATTGGATTCATTAAAACAATCCCAAGCAATCTAGGTTCAACCTCGGGCTTGAATACTTCCCAAGCCTAAGGGTTAGGGTTAATCACCTCCTCACGCTGCTATATTCTCTCTAACCTTATCCCTCACCTGCCTTTCACATCCCTCGGTCAGTATATCCATTTTTCTCGTTCACACAACATCTTACACAGTTACCCTTGCTCTAACATTAAGGGTACTATAAGCAATATACAACCCACCTAGGCAGACTGTGATCATGGCTACGAATGTCATTGACCTTGGCACTTGCACTGGATAGCGAGACAGTTATGTACGAGTTTATGAGGGACGCATTTAGTAAATTATGGATGCACCTTCTATCGGCATACTACTGCTCGGACCGCATCCCAATTTTCAATTCTTTCATTTGGATCATGAGTGTTAGCATATGCGTTAACTACGTTGACCAGGTCCTAAGCCTTTGACTAGGGGGTAAAAAACTTTGGTCTGACTGCACCCTTGTTTGCCCCCCGAAATATTTTTTTACCAGAAATTTAGGCAGGATGACTCATGACGGGGCTGAAGGTAGTACAAACTTTTAGCACGCTTTACCTCTATATGGGTTTACCTGCTCTTCCCTCACAGACTCTTCTTGTCCACTTCTTAATAGCTCCCTCAGTTATCCTCAAAGGCCTCGTAAGCAGGCTGCCATGTCCAAACGCTAATTCAATTCCATGCAAGATCCAAAATGATGGTGGGGCATATAGGGTCACCCTCACGATCGTACAACCTTAATCATCATCAAATTCAGACTCGGTCCAGACGAAGATATTTTTGTCTATTAACATGCTCCACCAGGAATGGCAAGAATACTTCTAGTCCATCCTCTTTTTTAACACGCAAGGTCATACTGGGATCTTCCTTAGCATAGGGCAGTCTGAGCTGCCTTTGCTCTAGTCTTTGGTTCTTCCCATAAAAAAAAAAGGTTCAGGATACGCCTTCCGTTACTATGCTGACAATCGTGTTTTACAGTCTCTATTCCTAAGGTCTTAGCTTCGTATTATCTTTTACTAAAATTTATCATTTTCAGTATTTATGACCACCCAACTGAAAAGGAATAATTATGGTAATATATCATGGTCATAGTACACCCATAGATATCAAGATTCACAAAAAATTGCTCATGGCAATTGATATATTACCTTAGTAGTCGACATTAGCAATACTCATAACAATCAATAAGAATTATATACAACTACTCAGTTACCCGGAAGTATATATGAATACCTTACCTTGACTAAAATCAAGGCAAGTTTGTTCAGAGTACATACTCTTGGATACAATAACAATAAAGAATATAACACTCTAACTCCCCAAGTTTGACGGAAGTATATTGCGGCGAGGAGCAGTGTAATCCATTTTAGAATAGATAACATCCCATATCCCTGAGCCCCGCTCAAGGATCAAGCCTCATTGCTTTTTCCTCCAATTCCAACACTTGCTCTTTGCAGACCCTTTCGACAAAGTAAACAACCTTACCATACACGCTTCGAGATGTACTGTTTCGTCCTGTGCTGGTGAAGATACTTGACAAAACAATAGTTGGGGATTCACCCCTTACTTCTTTGTGGCATGTAGTAGTTGCTTCCCTTATAGGCCATGATCTGACAAGGTTCGAATACTTTCCTCCTTTTAAGTAGTATTGTAGTCATCTTATCAGGGGATACAACAACAACACCCCACTATGGATCAGGAACATAGTTCCTTTGTGGGTCGCAGTGCTGCCTACAAGACAAAGTTATAACTTTTTCAAAGTCATTTCTCGGGGGAACAATAACATAGCATTGCACTCTTCCTTAAGATAGACCTTACGCAACTCTTTCTTAAGGTAGACCTTACGCATTGACCATTCTATGAGAAGAACCTTATCCCAAGGAAGTGGTCACTCCATTCACCTCTGAATGTGCATCAAACATGAATTTTGCACAATGCCCCTACTCTTTGAAGAGCAATCCAAATGCACAGACTTAATAGACAATCATAAGTCGATAATTGGACTTGGAACGCTCATATAAATCTTTGCATACTGATAATTTCAAATACATGCTTTAGATGCATAGCCCATACGAGGTATTCCTGAAAAGGATAGTCATAAAATAATATCAAGCACACAACCTCACATAAATAGACACTAAAAAACCTTATTCAGATAAGTTCTAACATGTATGGGTGAGTTCGACATATAACTCGAGAGAAAATCCCCTCAGAAAGTTATTCTCAAGTCCTTAGTTCCAACTCATAGACTCAAGTGGATGGTCAAAACCTGGAAAAACTCAAACGAGGGTCTAACATCACCTACAACTTATTGCCCCATCAAATGTAAGCAAAATAGTCTAAGTGTTAGCCCCTTCACTTGTTATTCTTATTGCCCTTGGGATTAGATCTCTCTCTCGCAGATGAGATACTATGTAGACCTACTACGTTCCGTAGTCGCTTTTAGTGAGGTTACAACACCGTATTCCTTGCACCCATTTGCCCCCTTATACGTCTAGTTCAAACACATCACGAGGGGCAGATCTCACACTTCCATGACTATATAACTCGAACAACCGCTTAAAACCCAGACTCAAGGATACCCATCCATGCTCATAAAGATTTTTAGCGTCCTTTAATCTAACTGTCCCCGAAGTCTCTCGATGACTTCTAACATAATGGGCTCCATTACTCGTCATCGACCTCACTCTAATGCAAAAGTACCAAGTTGCTCTCATAACCACTTAGAGAACTATTTTCACCATAATAGGTACCTTATAAGACCTACTTCCACAATGGACATTCTTAGTCATGTTGACGCCACCTCATCCTACCTTAGCCATATCAAACATGCAAAGCATCGTCCAAACCCGCCAACTATAAGGGTCAAGAGAGGCACCAACTCCAACTTTCATCATACTAGTCAGAGCACGTGAGCACATAGTCAGAACGTCTACCTCTCGCGCCACCCTTACTACACTAGTCAAAAATAAACTCACACAATCAACTCTCTCTCGCTCTTTATCCAATATCATCAATCGATTAGTCATAAATCCCCAAAGAAACTTCTCATTTTGCCTATTTCTCACATTCCAATACCTGGATGTCGGCTTATTGCGAATTCGACAGGACAAGAGCATGCCGGAAAAGGACAAGTGAGGGGATATCGATCGCTAGCTCAAACCATCCAAGATGGTTGTTCGAGTTCACTATTGTTTTACGACATAAACCTGGTTATGGTAAATCGAAGAATCTTTCGAAATTGCTCAACCCCCCAGACAATAGATAGCTCGCGACAACGGTAGGCAACCGTTATCCTCGGCAA